GGCCTGCCTTCTCCACTGGCTGCACAGCTGCCCTGAAGAGTACTGAAGGCACCTGAAGCTGAGCAGGCCAAACATCACCCGGCTCTTCGCTTCACGCCGTAATCCAGCCGACATCTGTGTTCACATGAACAAGAATTAAATGGTATCTTCCTCTGCACCAACCATATAAAATTAGGCCTTTCCACCACGATTTGGACATCCTGACATACGCGGGGCTGACTATTCTTTTCAAGGTAATGCATTAAAAGAGTCTCTAGGGTTTTTTAAATGACATTTGGGGAAAAAGAAAAAAAAAAAAAGAAATCAGATTGTGTCTACACAGCAGAAGGGGCTGCAAGAAAGGACCACTGAACAGGAGAAAAGTTCCCAATAAACTAAAAGCTGAACAGTGAGGAAATGCAGATTTTTTTATTCTTCTCCAAAATCTTGTCTTGGAGAACGACATACATCAGAAATTCATGTGTCCCTTTTTGGCCTAATCCCAACAGCCAGTCTTGAGTATTATTCAGTAGCCGTTTGCCTTACTTCTTCGAAGGGCAAGTGTGATGTAGCAACTGACTACCCTGCTGCTTTACAGCACACAAATCGGAGCCTAAATGATTACCAAGGTATATGTAACACAGGCAACACTGGACCGTCCAGTAGCTGACAGGGAAAGCATAAGCCTCTGAAATATTTCATGATGGCATGAGGTATAGCCACACAGCATCCGTTAAAAAGGAAGATGTTTTGGTAGCTAAATTCCATTTCACCTGCTTAACAGACGAGACAAGACAGTTAAACCTTGCCGCTTCCATCAGGAGGTGAAGTTGTAGCTGAGGGAGATTATGATCAATAAACCGTCGCTAAAATTAAAACGTAAGAACTCTGGACCATGCCTGAGTATACACCAACGCAAGACCTCCCTTTATCTTTTCTATAGCTAAAATATAACAGTTCTCATTATAAAAAGGTTTCTGGAATGCTTGCTCACTCAGTATTTAAAATGCAGCTCTTCCAACAACGATTCTGACATTTGGGAAGTGTCCCTGAAACGAGGAGGTGCGCAGGGACCTACGCCGACTCCGGCTGCACTAGAACTGCCCGGCAGCTATCAGCGTGGCTTCCCGGGACCGAGCCATGCCCGGCTGCGCGCGCGAGGTTCTACATATATGGCAAACTGCGCAGCCCGGAGAGCTGACCATTAACTTGGGGTAAAGATTAAACAGTGCTAAGTAATTCGTATTTTTAGCACAGTAGTGAAGAGTGAATTTTTTTGTGCAGTGTTAAGAAATGCAACTGCTCAAGTGAAAATACAAACATTTAAACTCAGCTAGCGACAAATGTTTCTGTCCACTGCTGCGGTGTCCATGGTAACAGTACTGGGGGTGGGAGAACAGATCACCAAAAGCTCAGATATTATTAATAAGCTCGTTCACTTGTGCAAAGTACGTGCTTCATGCTAGGGTATCTGGGCGGCTCACAGAAGATCAGTCCTTTTCAATTACATCCATTTGTTTAGGGGGTCTTGGGAGAGCGCCTATGGGAATCTGATCATCAGCATGAACTGCTCTTTAGCTTTGGCATCCGGGCCCATCTAGGATATTTCAATTCCAACAGCTGGAAGCTGTTATAAATCAAAAGCCCCAAAGTTTGGATAAGATATGTTGTTACAAAAATCTGCTTTATAATCTGGACAACGAGCCATCACATAGGAAACCAATAAACAGTGTAACAACACAGTAATAGATTTTTCACTGTTTTCCCAACTCAAACATTTACTTAGCTACCAACGCAACAGTATGTTAACAGTAGTCCCATGAGAAAAGCAGCACTGTTTAAAAAAAGGGCGACGCAGCTCTGTGACGCGCTGCCAGCGAGCCAGTGATTTACAAGGGACTTTCACAGAAACATTTCAGCATAAGCTTTGATAAACACTGCATCTCAGAAATATGTTCACATCAGTAAGATAGCTGGGCAGAAGCCTATTCACTTTTCTTCCCATCTTTATGAAAAAACCCTTTCATTTAAATATTTTTCCCCTCCATTTTCATTTAGCTTTCTCTTTGCTTAAATATTGGGATTTTCTTCCCAAATTTTGTATCATACCTCAATGCCTCAAAATTTCTTATTTAAATTATGAATTTGAAGTTTCACAAAAGGGTTTCTTTTAAAAATAGCTGGTATTTGGCTTAACCAGCCAACCCAGATGCAAACTAATTGTTCTTCAAACCAGTTTTTAGTCTCGGGAATAAGGTTTATCTATCAAATATTATCTAATCGCAACAGCAGAGGATGTAAATTCCATTCCATTTGATTCACTTATTCTAAACCCTCAAATCTAGTGATAAAAATTTAAATGGAGACTGCTAGAAGTGGTCATCCATCCGTCATTCTCAAAACCAGTCCAACTGTGGAAAGCGTGAAGGGGAATGAAACTTAACATGCCTTTATCCTTCCAAAGCTTCTCCCTTTGCCAAGGCGTCAAGGATGAACTTTTGAATTTGTCTGACAATTTGGAATTTCAATTGCATTTGCCAAAAATATATCCTGTTTAACAAGGGCTTACTTGTCATTTCAAAAACGCAGTCTGGTTGAGCAATATTAGAAACTCAGATACCTACATAGTTCATTTACTCTCTCAGAAATGGCATATTAAAACATATAAGTGGCTTCACAAATGTTTACTGGACTTAAAACATGTTTAGTCTGTATTTCCTCCTGGTTTATGCTGCAACTGTACCAGGTGCACTTACTGCTCTTTGAATCCCCTTCATTCTTTCAAACAAGCAAGTGGCTAAAGAAATATGTAAAAATGCTGTGGAGGCAATCAAGTTTGCCGTCCCAAAGCCAGAAAGCTTCGGCTTTCATTTCCCCTAGGGTGAGGCACACACAGCAGTCAAGGTAATTTTAAAAGACAACGGTAACCCGGCTATCTTTCCGTGATTTGAGGAGTTGAACGCAACGGCAACTTTATATTGGTGAAGCTCTTACCTCTTCTTCTTGGTGATAATGAGGACGTCGTTGAAGAGGAAGAAGTACACCTGCTGCTTAGAAGTTCTTTTAGAAAAAAGTCCAGTGTCTTCTACATAGGCTGTTAATTCACCCCTTTTCACTAACCATCGTGAAGAAGAAACCAATGGAAATGGCTGCAAAGCAAAAAAAAAAAAAATTTAATTGTTCCAAAGTAAAGATTTTTAAAAAACAGGTAACAGTATTATCTATTCAGGGAAAAAAAAATGCTTGAATAAACTCAGAGCTCAGAGATTGTGAGTACAAGCACAAAAGAGAGGTAATCAAGGTTTAAGGTATCTTCATCATTCAGATCAGACACAAGCACATGTGTGCAAGAAATGCTTGCAAGTCACTCATGCACATGACCCAATTACTCATACGTGGGATGGAACAGACTATGTGAGATCTCCTAAGGAGATTAAAAATAAAAAGTCTGTCTTCCAGGAATATGTGAGTTTTTGTAGAATAAGCAATCATTCTTTAAGCACATATGAACATTGGATTTTCCTCTAGGTACCTCACAGCTTTCTACCTAAACAGCTGGGAAGCAGAGCTTCAGCTCCTCACCTCAAACATGAGAGCTGCTGCACTTCGCGTTTCATCACATCCCTAAGGCCAGATAAAACGATGCTGTGCCTTCTTTCTGACCGTGTGTTCCATACCATACAGAGAATTAAAAAGTGCAAAATCCTTTAACGGAGAAATACACTCTACAGTCCACTTTGAAATATTCTGTGCATATATGAAAACAGACATAAACAGATGGAGACAGCACACAGGATTAGATTGGTCCTGCTGCAGTACTGAACATGACTGTTGAGATGTTCAGAGTACGCGGCCCTTTCTTCCATGAAAGAGCGAAGGACGCAGGGAATGCCAGAAGGCTCGCCAATCAAATGTGGTAAAACCCATTTTCTACTCTAAGTAAACTGAAGTTCCAACACAGCTCTGTGAAAGAATGTGTAAAGCCGTATGTGATATGTAGGGTTTGAGTTAGTTGTCCATTTTAATGCAAAAAATATAGTTTGCTCATGACATCATAAATTCACCAGTGGTTTGAAAGACACATCTGCAAGTTTTTAGAAGACATCTCTTTAGGTGTCCGCTCATGAAAGGCCATATTAATAAACAACTGTCCTTCCTCAGGATGAACTTCAGCTTTTTCCTTCCCCTCCATCTTCCATTTTGTCAGGAAAGGCGACTGCTACGTTTGACCACAATTGCTTTGTAACTTGCTACTGCAGCCGAAGGGGGCGGGCAGGTCCGACTGCTCCGGGCTCGCTGCTGGAACGAGCGTGGGCTTGAGCCTCTTCGAGCACCCTCTCAGACCTGGCGCGGCGACTCACTGAGCGTATGTCACTGGTTCCAGGAAAAGTCAGTCAGGCTTGCGCAAACCTTCATCCCTCAATTTATGAGGTGCAGGTAGAATCATTTTTCCAAGGTAAGTACCACACCAAACCATTTACGTTTGCTCCCTCGATAGCAGGAAAGGAAGTTTTTCCAACTACTTGCCATTCTCATTAGGAGTTCCTGAAATGTCATACAGTTATCTGTCCACTGTCCTAGCTTTATCTAAGATGGGTAACTAGGGATGCTATCGCTCCTCTTACTCTCTATCTAGTTGACGTAGTTGAACTCCACATGTTCTGTGGAGCAGGATCTCCATGTCTCTCTGGGGTGAGGACCAACACCTGCAACAGCTGAAGCAAGTCAAAGAGGATCATAGCTGCCTGATGTGAAGACGAGGCTTTATTAATCCAAATTATTCCCAACCGCGGGAGAAACAGACACCACAGAAGGACCTTTTGTTTCTCTGGCCATGAACATGAAGGGAGATGTGAGACTGCACGTCCTGGTCATACAGAGCACAGATCATCTCTGAAGCTGTACCATGACCTACGATGCCGGAAAGACAAAGGTCCACTGCAGCGCGGGCAGCTGTCCCACTGGGCAGGATTCCCCAGGCGCTGATCTCACTGATGCCGCTCGCACTGAGCCGAGCAGGGCTGCTGTGTGGCAACGTTTCTGCGATGGCACACAGCGGGCAGGTTCTTTCTGCCAGACCGCGCTGTCACCAGGCGCTATTCTAAGCAAAGACGCCGACCTCCTCTGCAGGTTTCAGCCCTCATCGCTGGAATGACCTGGCTGGGTCCTGCCTCGAATGCTGGAGATGCTGGTGCTTCTGTCCGCGTGCGCCTCTGGGTAGTGCCCGCGTGCTGGACGGAGCATCTGAAGATGTCTGGTGCCTTCCCCCCGCCGGCACCAGAAGGGATTAGGCTCAGTGGGTGACCTCCGCAAGCGAAGCCCAAGCCACGCCACCCATACCTTACAGGTTCTCCAGCAGCTGGTACATGATCTCACCAGAAAAGAAGAGGCATCCACTTTGCTAATCCACTTACTAATGTTTGTACCTAAGACCTGCCGCAGTAAATGGGCGCTTACCGCTGAATTTTATGGAGTGTATGTATTTTTCTTCATCCCAAGCGAAATAATCAAATTTTTGTTTCTACTTTAAGTGTAACTGGCTTTCTGCTTATCAAACTTCCCTACTCGCTTTGCTGTTGTTCAAATTAATTATTGGCCTTGCATGATTAGACTAATGAAGACAACCGCTTTTTTTCCCTTTCACATGCTTGTAAAAACATATTTCTTCATTCAGCTTGTCAGCTGTCATCTTCATTCTGCATGGGTTGTCTTTTTGTATCTTTTAATCACGTTAGCTGCTCTTGACTGAACTAATTCCAACTTGTCAATGCTTGCCCCATAATACTGTGCCAAAACCAAAATACAGTGCTTTGACTGTGATCTTACTGTTGGAAGAACAAAACATTAACTCCCTAATTTTACACGCAGCTGCCCCCGTGTTTTTGCATTCTGAGGTATGATTTTACAGTGACTCTGGAGCGGCACACGACAAAACAATTATTCTGGAGATGCTTTTTCTGCCACCACGCAGCACCACAGAACTCTCTTCCCCAAGCTTTCCCTTAGCAGGAAGTGCACTGATGGCAGGTCAATGTTGCTCAAAATTGCAAAAGTAGCAGCCCTCTGGAACTGCTGCAAATTGCTACAAATTAAAGTTTGACCTTGCCTCAGACCGATTTCCAGCACACTCGGAACAAGCAATGATGAGCACCCGCCCTCACCTGGTACCTGAACACCAACATCCACCCAACAAAGCCTTTGCTACGCCGCAGACCTACGTTAGGGACCTTTCAAACCCGTATTCTTTCAAAGTGACTGCTGATAAATACCAACATATTTCATCTATCTGCTACAATTCCAAGGGTTTTTGCATTCATGCTACCAAGATATTAGTGTATTGAACCCTGACGAAATTCCCTTCGGACATTTCCTCCCAAGCTCATATATTCTGTTTTGATTTATATGACTTTTTTGCAGGTTTCTAGTTTTGTACTACCCAGTAGCTTATTAAATGTGTTTTCACTGTATTCTCCAATTTGGAAATGCAGAACTTTGTTTCAAATCCGTATTTCATAAATAGATTTTTATCCAACTCTCTGTTAGTGAATCAGAGTAAATCAATCTGGTTACAAATCACTGTAACTTCAAGTTCATTAACTGATATTGTCACTGGTCTCGGATCAGTGGCTAACTTAGACTCCTATCGATCCAACTTTATTACTTTCTCCTAGGACTGTATCGTATCATTTTTCTTACAGATGGTCATTTTATTAAAGACACATCATTAAACCTCACAGGTTACGAAAGCCCATTTAGCTCAGTATTCAGACATGACACTCCTAGAGGAATTCCCAAGCTCCATCACTGAAATCAAAGAAAGTTTTATATTGACATTTGGCTTTAAAAATTTGGCTTGCTTTCAATCAAAACTCTGCTGGTTCAGTACCTTCAAGTAACATGAAAATCAGTTTTTTAAACCAATGGTTTGTATGTCTCCTGACACGCAGTAACCGTTCCACGTGACAACACAGGAACGCGAAACATCGGACCATACCCTAACAGTGACATCGTCGCACTTGTGACTACAAAATTCAAAGGCGTTGGACTAGGTGGTCCTTCAACATGGAAGTCACAAACACGTTTGTTTCATGAACACAAAAGCATGTTTGCAGAAAAAAACCCTACAACCCTTCTGGTGCTAAAGATGAAAAATTTACGAATAAAAACTTCTGAATCTTAATTAAAAATGAAACTCTGCAGATGAGCCACGTACAAAAGTGACGTAATGTTTGAGCAGCTTCTCTTGCACTCCCATGAAATGCTCTACAGCTACATCTAACAAAATCATAAAGTTAAACGAGAATCCCCAAACACTCTATGAGCTTGAGCAAGAACAGAAATAGTTTACCTAATTTATAATGATTATAAAAGAGAATTATAGCACCATGATTTTTTTTACAGACAAGAAGTACTTCAAAAATTTCTTGTGAGGATGCACTAAAAATTCCTCTAATCTGTGCTCCAAGCGAGTTCACTGCATTTTCCTACTTGACTATATTCCAGAGGCAGCTTTTTACTTTCATATTAATTTTTCCTTAATTGCCAAAAGGGTACATCATCTATACTATCTCCTTTCTATACAAAACAAGCTGTCAGAACTTAAAATGTATTGAAACTTGGCCAAAGCAGTCTTTTATACGCCAGCTGGCAAGCTCTCACACCACAGATAAGGTCTAAACCGCTAAGCAGTTATATTTAAGATGCACAAAGGAAAAAACCCACTTGCATAAAAATTACAGAAAAACAAAATTCATAAGAGTTGCTATTACTCCCATGAAACTAGTGAGAGCTGCTAGTTACAGCACGTACAGGGAAGAATTATACAGGACCTCTCGCATCTGCGAAGTCGGGATCAAGAGCGTGCATCCTCCTCCCACGGGGAAAGTAAGAGACTATAAAGCACTTAAACCCTGTTAGGTACTTCTGTAAATTCAAAAACTGAGTAAAGCCGCAGAGCGGGTCGCCCAAGGACTTCAGACTATGCAAAAGGCTATTTCAGACCATCCAAGGGCTTGAGACTATCATCCACCACTGTTAGCAGATGTAGTCATGTCACTTGTTAAGAGATGTTTGTTTATTGTTGTGGTTATAAGTAAATATTATTCTCAGTTTTTAGTCAACATTTGAAAATAAAAACACTTTGGGGAAG